CCAACAGCTATCCATGTGCGAACATCACCTGTGCCAGTTGGCTGATGTAGCTCATGAAGTACCCTGTCTACATTGTCATAGCTGTTAGGGTTTGTCAACACAGGATCGCCCAAGGACAGTGGGTTCTTGGGGTGCATGTCGCCTCTCTATGAATGCATAGGGATCATGGGATTGTTTGAATGAACAGGTGTCAATGAGTGGATGATCCCTATCAACATTGTCTGACAGAGTAACATGCTGTGAGGGGGACTGACCCTTCGCAACTTCTTGTAGCCTGTGCTCAAGGAAGTCATGAACAAGACTTGTCATGATGTGTTGACTTTCAGTGGCCTTTTCATCTAATAGGGGTGAAATCACATATTTTAGGTTCACTGAATACAACCACACATATGGTGACAACTGTGGGACTGATCGTATTTGGGAGGCTGGGTCATTTATGTAAATGATGTTTGATATAATGCTGCATTTAGTTTTGTAATTTAACGTGACACGCCAATTCCGTTCAATCTTTTGATTGTAATAAAAAAATGCCATAATTGAGCCAACAGTTGGACACTTCAGTTTATGTTGTGTCCCGCTATCAAGCCACTGTGAATTAATAGTATATGAACCAGATGGAGATGTGTGATTGTTGAAAACCGATGCCGCTTTACTTCCGGTCAGGCACTCGTGAAGAGCAACCTCCCCGTGGTGAGTCCTGGGTAACGCTAATAGCTCTTCCCCCATGTGGACTCGGGATAGAATATGTCCACAGCATCCCATTGCTGGTCGTATGAGGCGACTAAATTGTTCAACCTGTTTGCCGTTGGTTGCGCATCTGTGTTGGTGGAGGACGGGATTCTGGTGGTTGAGGGCACTGGAGCCAGGAACAAGTGTTCCTTTTGCCCAACACACCACTTCGACCCTTACTTCACCTAGACAGGTGGTAGAATGGGCCCGATTCTATCAATCGGCTGGGCATGTCATGCCCTGTGCATGGCCAATCTCTAATTTTGAATTACATGTCAAATGTTTTTAAACTGTAACATTATTTTCAAAACTGCTGTATCGTTACTTTTGCCTAGAGTCCTATGCTAGCAGGAAGTGGGTGGATGTCAATGGTCAGTAGACAGTAGTCAGTGGCATAATGTCAATGGTCAGTAGACAGTAGTCAGTGGCATGATGTCAATGGTCAGTGGACAGTAGTCAGTGGCATGATGTCAGTGGGAAGTGGGCGGATGTCAATGGTCAGTCAGATTTTCCAAATCTTTTCATGTTTTTAATCAAGGTGCCCACGTGATTTGATGCATTTCGCGATGTAAGACCCGTTTTAAAACAATATAGACCTTGATTATCGATCAGATCGTCCTGACTGGGCGCCACCATTTTGTGTGAAACAAACGTAAGTGATACGAGAGGTGGAATCTCATTGGTCCATAGGAGAGGCTTAGAGGGGACATAACTGGTAATAGCCACTGGTGGCGCTACGATCGAGCCCAGTAATTCGAGCCAAGTTGGCAAGGGTGGAAACTGGGCTTTCATAGTCAGTTAACTCCCTTGCCTCGGGAAGATGTCTCTCTTTTTACTGGTTATGTACTTTGGGTCAATTTTGATCGTGCATTTAACATGACTTAGGCTGTTTGAGAATGAATTATTATGATTCGGTATCACACTATACAGAAATATTGATGAGCAAACACAATATCATCACGGTGTGTAAGAAAGCAATCACATATATGAGCATTTGTTTATTAGCCACGGTTGAAATACAGCCATGTTGACTCGGGTTACAATTTCATTGTTCTTTACAGTGGAAAACAGTCCCATCTTCAGAATCCAAATACCCTCTGAAACAATAGTCACATCATCATCATATTTCTACCTGGAAACGACCTGCATGAATATATTCGACCTTCCACTTCCAAATGAGCCACAAGATATGTCATCTTCTGTATCAGTGCAGGGCATCAAACAATAATGATGATGCGGGTCAACATTGTGTCTAATTATGTTATCTTTTTCGAAGCCATGGGTGTAGCTTGACATTGTATGTAGTTGCTGGATAAATATACGTTTTTTAGTATACCTTGCACGGGCTAAAGTTAATGTCGTCCAGTTTTCACTCTTAACATCCAAATGACAATCATGCTCATGCATTATACAGCAGGTGACAAGGTAATGGTGATCAGGTACAACACAACATGTGACAAGGTAATGGCACTCATGTACTACACAACAGGTGACAAGCTCATGGTGATCAGGTACTACACAACAGGTGACAAGGCACTGGTGCTCAAGTACTACACAACATGTGACAAGGTAATGGCACTCATGTACTACACAATAGGTGACAAGGTAATGGCACTCATGTACTACACAACAGGTGACAAGCTAATGGTGATCAGGTACAACACAGCAGGTGACAAGGCACTGGTACTCAGGTACAACACAACATGTGACAAGGCACTGGTGCTCAGGTACAACACAACATGTGACAAGGTAATGGTGCTCAAGTACTACAAAACATGTGACAAGGTAATGGCACTCATGTACTACACAACAGGTGACAAGGTAATGGTGATCAGGTACTACACAACAGGTGACAAGGCACTGGTGCTCAAGTACTACACAACAGGTGACAAGGCACTGGTGCTCAAGTACTACACAACAGGTGACAAGGTAATGGCACTCATGTACTACACAACAGGTGACAAGCTAATGGTGATCAGGTACAACACAGCAGGTGACAAGGCACTGTTGCTCAAGTACTACACAACAGGTGACAAGGTAATGGCACTCAGGTACAACACAACATGTGACAAGGAACTGGTGCTCAGGTACAACACAACAGGTGACAAGGCACTGGTGCTCAGGTACAACACAACATGTGACAAGGTACTGGTGCTCAGGTACAACACAACAGGTGACAAGGTAATGGTGCTCAGGTACAACACAACAGGTGACAAGGTAATGGTGCTCAGGTACAACACAACAGGTGACAAGGTAATGGTGCTCAGGTACAACACAACATGTGACAAGGTAATGGTGCTCAGGTACAACACAACAGGTGACAAGGCACTGGTGCTCAGGTACAACACAACAGGTGACAAGGTAATGGTGCTCAGGTACAACACAACAGGTGACAAGCTAATGGTGCTCAAGTACAGCACAACAGGTGACAAAACATTGGTACATAACGTGTGGCACAACAGGTGACATAATGACAAGATACATGTGCTCACGTATTAAACAACAGGTATAGGTTATAACTAAAGTGTTTAGTCCCATCAATCAGGTATTAAGCAAATTGATCACTTTGTCAAACAAAACTGACCTCCTCAAATCAAACTCGAGGAAACTGATGAAACTGTTCAGTGATGCTTCTTGTGGCAAGTGAGAATCAAACACCTGCGCACTTTCTATTTCAGGTTGATGTGTACCAACAATGGCATGGACATCGTAAACGAACATGCTGGGAAGTATGTTAAAGCAGAAGAGTTTAGCTGCACGTTGGCGATGGTGGATGATTACACAACTTGAGGTCACCATCCCATTCAGTTGGTGCATCACAGCTCCTTTGAAAGACCCCGTTAATCGAGCACACTACGTACCTATCGCAACCTGCGCATGAATGAAAGCTCCCGGTGCGACCAGCACAGTCGTCCGACACACAGGCATCTGTAACATTGCATCATCTATGAATATTTTCTCTCTAAAGTATATCGATTTCTACGATGTTAGAATTTTTAAGTAACATATATATAATGAATGTTACATTGAAATCAGACAGAATGAGTGAGAATATGCGTTTGGTTGAGCGCAGCTTATTACCGTATGTGAACTTGATGTGGTAGGCATGCAAGCGCTGGTGCTGACCAACCATGACACAGAATCAGGGCGTACAGGGACTAGAACTCTCAATCATCGGTTTCTGGGATTAAGGCTAACTAGCGACTGGGTCACCGCACCCCATGCAAGCATCACGTCAATTCTTAGCTTATACCTTAAACTGCAAATGGTCGCTGGTGTTGAAAGACCTGCCCTAACAATAGCAGTTGTGTGGTATGGTTATGCTTGCAGTTGTACCGGTATGAATTATACAAAAACATGAAGATAGATATTAGAACATTATTACATTAAAACACAAATATATCTAAAAATAATGCAAATAAATCTATAGGAAATTTTATAATGTAGCGACCAAGCAATTTCTGATGCGAGGTCGGACGCCTTGTATACACGGTGAAAGAGCTTAACGCAGCAGCCTCCTAACATGGTAGGGATGTCATGTGCGGGATGACTCCATGTCCTGCTACATACGGTCCTTCAATAGATGTCCGCATAGTTGGGTACTGAGACTAATTTTGGTCAAATTTGATATGAACGTGCTCAACCCAACGTTCGGCGTCAATGTCGAGTCCAAAAACTTCCTAAATCAGCTGATGAGACGTATGCATCCGAGGTTGGCCGCCTTGTCAACATGACTAAAGAGGATAACCACATATGTGTGTGTGTGGCGCGTGTGTGTGAGTGTATGTGGCGTGTGTGTGTGTGGCTTGTGTGTGTATGTGTATGGTGTGTCTTTGTGTGTGACGTGTGTGTGTGAGGCATGTGTGTTTGTATGTGTGGCGTGTGTATGTACGTATGTATGTGCCTGTCTGCTTGTATGTGTGGCGTGTGTGTGGCTTGCAATTGTGTGTGTATGTGTGTGGCGTGTGTGTGTGTGTTTGTGGCGTGTATGTGGCTTGTGTGTGTGTGTGTGTGTGTGGCTTGTGTGTGTACGTGTATGGTGTGTCTTTGTGTGTGACGTGTGTGTGTGTGGCATGTGTATGTTTGTGCCTGTCTGTCTGTCTGTCTGTCTGTCTGCTTGCTTGTATGTGTGGCGTGTGTATGATCATTGCTTACGTGATGAAGTTCCAGTAGGTTGCTCTGTGTTGACTTGCATAGCTGTAGTGGCCACAGTAGTAGATGCTGCAGTGGTAGTCGTTACAGTTGTAGGTGATGCAGTGGTAGTTCGTTTATTAGCAGTGGTCACAGTAGTAGGTGCTGCAGTGGTAGTTGTCACAGTAGTACGTGCTGCAGTGGTAGTCGTCACAGTAGTAGGTGCTGCAGTGGTAGTTGTCACAGTAGTAGGTGATGCAGTGGTAGTTGTCACATTGGTAGGCCCTGCAGCAGTGGTAGTTGTCACAGTAGTAGGTGATGCAGTGGTAGTCGCCACAGTAGTAGTTGCTGCAGTGGTAGTTGTCACAGTAGTAGGTGCTGCAGTGGTAGATGTCAAAGTAGTAGGTGCTGCAGTGGAAGTTGTCACAGTAGTAGGTGCTGCAGTGGTAGTTGTCACAGTAGTAGGTGCTGCAGTGGTAGTCGCCAAAGTAGAAGTTGTTGCAGTGGTAGTTGTCACAGTAGTAGGTGCTGCAGTGGTAGATGTCAAAGTAGTAGGTGCTGCAGTGGTAGTAGTCACAGTAGTAGGTGCTGCAGTGGTAGTTGTCACAGTAGTAGGTGATGCAGTGGTAGTTGTCACATTGGTAGGCCCTGCAGCAGTGGTAGTTGTCACAGTAGTAGGTGATGCAGTGGTAGTCGCCACAGTAGTAGTTGCTGCAGTGGTAGTTGTCACAGTAGTAGGTGCTGCAGTGGTAGATGTCAAAGTAGTAGGTGCTGCAGTGGAAGTTGTCACAGTAGTAGGTGCTGCAGTGGTAGTTGTCACAGTAGTAGGTGCTGCAGTGGTAGTCGCCAAAGTAGAAGTTGCTGCAGTGGTAGTTGTCACAGTAGTAGGTGCTGCAGTGGTAGATGTCAAAGTAGTAGGTGCTGCAGTGGTAGTAGTCACAGTAGAAGTTGCTGCAGTGGTAGTTGTCACAGTAGTAGGTGCTGCAGTGGTAGATGTCAAAGTAGTAGGTGCTGCAGTGGAAGTTGTCACAGTAGTAGGTGCTGCAGTGGTAGTTGTCACAGTAGTAGGTGCTGCAGTGGTAGTCGCCAAAGTAGAAGTTGCTGCAGTGGTAGTTGTCACAGTAGTAGGTGCTGCAGTGGTAGATGTCAAAGTAGTAGGTGCTGCAGTGGTAGTAGTCACAGTAGTAGGTGCTGCAGTGGTAGTTGTCACAGTAGTAGGTGCTGCAGTGGTAGTCGCCAAAGTAGAAGTTGCTGCAGTGGTAGTTGTCACAGTAGTAGGTGCTGCAGTGGTAGATGTCAAAGTAGTAGGTGCTGCAGTGGTAGTAGTCACAGTAGTAGGTGCTGCAGTGGTAGTCGTCACAGTAGAAGTTGCTGCAGTGGTAGTTGTCACAGTAGTAGGTGCTGCAGTGGTAGATGTCAAAGTAGTAGGTGCTGCAGTGGAAGTTGTCACAGTAGTAGGTGCTGCAGTGGTAGTTGTCACAGTAGTAGTAGTAGGTGCTGCAGTGGTAGTCGCCAAAGTAGAAGTTGCTGCAGTGGTAGTTGTCACAGTAGTAGGTGCTGCAGTGGTAGATGTCAAAGTAGTAGGTGCTGCAGTGGTAGTCGTCACAGTAGAAGTTGCTGCAGTGGTAGTTGTCACAGTAGTAGGTGCTGCAGTGGTAGTCGTCACAGTAGTAGGTGCTGCAGTGGTAGTCGCCAAAGTAGAAGTTGCTGCAGTGGTAGTTGTCACAGTAGTAGGTGCTGCAGTGGTAGATGTCAAAGTAGTAGGTGCTGCAGTGGTAGTAGTCACAGTAGTAGGTGCTGCAGTGGTAGTTGTCACAGTAGTAGGTGCTGCAGTGGTAGTCGCCAAAGTAGAAGTTGCTGCAGTGGTAGTTGTCACAGTAGTAGGTGCTGCAGTGGTAGATGTCAAAGTAGTAGGTGCTGCAGTGGTAGTAGTCACAGTAGTAGGTGCTGCAGTGGTAGTCGTCACAGTAGAAGTTGCTGCAGTGGTAGTAGTCACAGTAGTAGGTGCTGCAGTGGTAGTTGTCACAGTAGTAGGTGCTGCAGTGGTAGTCGCCAAAGTAGAAGTTGCTGCAGTGGTAGTTGTCACAGTAGTAGGTGCTGCAGTGGTAGATGTCAAAGTAGTAGGTGCTGCAGTGGTAGTAGTCACAGTAGTAGGTGCTGCAGTGGTAGTCGTCACAGTAGAAGTTGCTGCAGTGGTAGTTGTCACAGTAGTAGGTGCTGCAGTGGTAGATGTCAAAGTAGTAGGTGCTGCAGTGGAAGTTGTCACAGTAGTAGGTGCTGCAGTGGTAGTTGTCACAGTAGTAGTAGTAGGTGCTGCAGTGGTAGTCGCCAAAGTAGAAGTTGCTGCAGTGGTAGTTGTCACAGTAGTAGGTGCTGCAGTGGTAGATGTCAAAGTAGAAGGTGCTGCAGTGGTAGTAGTCACAGTAGAAGTTGCTGCAGTGGTAGTTGTCACAGTAGTAGGTGCTGCAGTGGTAGTCGTCACAGTAGTAGGTGCTGCAGTGGTAGTCGTCACAGTAGTAGGTGCTGCAGTGGTAGTTGTCACAGTAGTAGGTGATGCAGTGGTAGTCGTTACAGTAGTAGGTGCTGCAGTGGTGGTCGTCACAGTAGTAGGTGCAGCAGTGGTAGTTGTCACAGTAGTAGGTGCTGCAGTGGTAGTTGTCACAGTAGTAGGTGCTGCAGTGGTAGTTGTCACAGTAGTAGGTGCTGCAGTGGTAGTTGTCACAGTAGTAGGTGCTGCAGTGGTAGTTGTCACAGTAGTAGTTGCTGCACTGGTAGTTGTCACAGTAGTAGGTGCTGCAGTGGTAGTCGTCACAGTAGTAGGTGCTGCAGTGGTAGTCGTCACAGTAGTAGGTGCTGCAGTGGTAGTTGTCACAGCAGTAGGTGCTGCAGTGGTAGTCGTCACAGTAGTAGGTGCTGCAGTGGTGGTCGTCACAGTAGTAGGTGCTGCAGTGGTGGTCGTCACAGTAGTAGATGCTGCAGTGGTAGTCGTCACAGTGGTAGGCCCTGCAGCAGTAGCTCGTTCAGTAGTTGCGGAACCTGTCACTGTGTTAATTGATGTAGTCAGCAGATCAGTTGTCAAAGATGTGGATTCTACAGTAGTTAGTGTAGTGGACGCAGACGCAGACGCAGACGCAGACACAGTCGTAGATGCACCAGTGAGCTGTGATGTAGACTGGCCAGTTGATGGTACATCTGTCACTTCTTGATGTGCACAAAAAGAAAAAATCCAAATTGTTATCTTTCCAATGGTGTGGGTACTATAGATTTTGCTTGTTAAACAATTTGACCTTGAATGTGCCAAACGTTTATGTTTAAACGAATGGCGTATGCCTAATGGGGAGTCATCTAAGCATATATAACTTATACCATTTGTTCCACGGCCAGTTCCAAACAAACGGAAAGTGTTTTTCACAATATTCAAAAAACATTGCGCAGAGAAGGGTGAGCATCTCTTTCCATGTGTGTAAGGTAACAAATATATCATGGCTAACGTGCAGTAACTGTAAAACACACTAAAATCATATAATCTGTCTCTAAGATATATGTACACACGCCAAAGCAACCTTTGCATATTCACTAACCTGGGAGTGAGTGGAGTGAGTATGGCTTAACGCCGCTTTTAGTAATATTCCAACAATATCACGGCGGAGAACACAATAAATGGCATGGGCTTCACACATTGTACCCATGTCGGGAATCGAACCCGGGTCTTCTGCGTGACGGGCGAACGCTTCAACCACTAGGCTACCCGACCGCCCCCACTAACCTGGGAAGTACTTCTATATTATGAGGTTGTTCTTTTGTCTAGTTAAGCTAATGTAATCTCTCATGTTGGAAGTATATTGTCGTTGACATAATACCTCAAAATTATACAATTACACATTGTGTTCACATTAGAGGTATCAAATAAAAAATAACGTACGTCCGATTTGTGTAAAAATAGGTTTGGCTGCTAATGCACCATTGCTTACCTCCATGCAGACACAGGTATCCCGTGACTGCCTTCGTTGGCACACACGTCTCATCTAAAGAACATGGTCGTCCCCTACAGGGGTGGTCAAATTTCTGACAACAAAACATGAATTATTATTAAATATCAAAGGGCATTGTTAATACATTGACGAAAGAAAGAAACTAAATCTGTCCAACCGAGGCTCACCCTCAACATCGATTGTCTTTGAGTACAATTTTAGAAAATAAAAATTGAACTATCATATTGTCGTGCATAAGTATTCTTGTTTCACTCTCCGGAAAGCCTCCATCAATTAGTTCTAAAATACGTTCTCATAAATCACTAAATAAAAGCTCGACACAGAACGGCAAGCATCAGCAGACGCCAATACACCTATACCAGTTCTCCAAGTAGAATTGATCTGGTGCATCCAATATTCATATTTCAATTATAATGCAACCTTTTTGGCGGATCAAACATATTTGCAGTATTTTAGAATGTCCAGTAGAGCTGATTTTAGGAGTCATGTCAACACCACAGAGTTCAGCACCAGCCTGAATACCTTATGAAGTAATTTGCGATTCATTTGGCAAGATACAGTGGATGTAGCAACGCTACGTGACGTCAGCCTAGCAAGGGGATTGCTGTGGTCATTGAGTTTGCATAAGCTCCTGTCAGTGATCTATCATCTCCAAAAGCAATGTCATTAAATATACCTAGCGATGTTGAGAGTTGTCAAATGTGTTAAATAGTGTTACAGTTAAATATAGTCTGTGCAGTTTATATCAAACGCATGTTTATAAAAGCATTTTTTTTTTAAATGTATTAATTTTGTTTTCGGGGCTGTACCTTCTCATCCACTTTCAAACATGGGAGCCGAAGTTTCAAAGCTTGTGGAAGGAGCAGGATGAAGTGGATTAATTCTGGCATCTGATTAATATTGGCAAGGAATTTCCAACCAAACCACTTTCACTCACCTAAATATGATTCAAAGGGACTCACCCTTGTGGCATCGGTAGCAATGGCTATGCCTTCCAAGTCCCATACTATGGTCAACATTATCCTTAAAGTGTTCCCTTTCACACGTTTTAACAAAAGATTGGGGCTGAATTTTTTCGCTCGTTGGGATTTTGTGTTTTCACAAAATCAAGCGAGGAATTCTTAAAATACTCTCTCATTCGTGCGTACTCGTGTACTCAATGTCTGACGTTTAATGCAATCTTATTCCAATATTTCAACGCTTGATACTATGGATATAACTTAGTTTATATATTTTTTTTTATCTTAATCAGAACCATCCCAGCACAAAAGATGATCTGTTACGCTAAAAAGGCTTAAATAAACAATGTTTGGAGACACAAACAAGTGATGATAAAAATTAATTTGACAAAACTAGATAATAAATATGATAAAAAAAATAAAGCAACATACCATTCCAAGAGGAGCCGTGGTGTCGGAGTATACATGATGCCGGCTGACAGAGAAGGAGGCAGGTGAGGTGTTCCTGGTGTCTCTGCTGAGCTGACACAAGCCTGTGCCTGTAGCCCAGGTGTAGGCCCTGCACGGAGTGGAGTACCAGCACAGAGACTGACACAGCGTGAAGCTGGGGACGCGAGTCTCTTTGAAAACACCGGACAAGAGTTTTCCTGAGATGACCGTGTGTCCATTCCCTTGACCTGCCATTACTGTTGCATACAGAATCAGCAACAACACTTTAACTGCACTCTTTATGAAAGGCATATTCCAAGGTTTCACTCGGCAATGTATTATTCGCATGTGCCAGGGAAATGTTAGCATTCTATCCGCATAGTTCATCTGATGGATTCTGCAGTGTCAAATAAGCAGAGGACCTTGTTGTCGACAAATGACAGCCGCCACCTCCATAGGGGGTTAATTGAGTGCAGAACGACTGCTGTAATTTGCTAAGTGCAACGGCTGAACATGATCATGAATTGTGAGCACAATGAACAATGGGCACCTCAACTTTTTTCAATTTGAGAAGGAATTTAAAGATGTACCAAATGATTATTTCAACGTACAACACAAACCATAATCATATGGCAACTATACCTGATCTCGTTCTGATTCGGAAACAGTAAGTCATAGACTCACATACCTATCGACAGTCTTTTAAGTCTTTTAATTGCCACCGCTATTATAATTATGTCATTTACGCTCATTGAAATCTATTTCGCTGGATAATCGAGACTGACCTTGACGTTTTATGTTTAAATAACATTTTAAATACTTACATGTATATGACGGCAGTCTGTATATAATCGAGTCTGGACCAGTCAATCCAGTGATTGACATCGTTAGCATCGATCAACGCAATTGCGATACAATGACATGCATCAATCAAGTCAGGGAGTCTGACCACCCAATCCTGTTAGTCGCCTCTTACGACAATCATAGCCGCCTTTTACAGCAAGCATGGGAAGACCTACTCTTCCCCGGATCTTCACGGGTTCATGCTTTCAGTAACTGGTTTGCCTGGTCCAAACTCGTAATATTCAAGGCCGCCGTGAAATAACCGGAATATTGCTGCGGCACTAAACAACATTCACTCACTCGAATTTGTTCCGAGTTCTTTGTGAGTGATGTACAATTCATGGTCACACCAGCAGTACTTAAGCCACATGATCCCCTAATGTGGACAGACCCATGAAGATTCCGGGGTAGAATAGGTCATCAGCAACCTATGCTTGCCCTACAAGGTGACTGTGCTTGTCGTAAAAGGCGACTAACGGTATCGGGTGGTCAGGCTCGCTGACTTGGTTTGATGCATGTTATCGATCCCAATTGTGTGGATCGATGATCATGATATTAATCACTGGATTGTCTGGTCCAGACTCGACTATTTACAGACCGCCGTCATATAGCTGGAATATTGCTTAGTTTGGCGTCAAACAACAAACAAACCAACCAACTTAATGGGGACAAGGAGGGCGAGTGTATGAAATTACAATCCGGATTTGATGACAGTTGATTAACTGAAGGAATATAAGTGATCGGATAAAATTAAAGTTGTGGTGATGTCAAATAAGAACGATGATTGTCTTGTGATGTTACATATTTTTCAGGAAAATAGTCAATTTCACATCTATTTGTAATAGTGCGTTCTTGAAAAAAACTTCAATAGTAGAAAAAACATCCATTGAAGAATATTCTTTCAAAAAGGAATTCCTTGTATACTAGCCACAGAAAGAAACTGTGCACGGAGAAAATATATTCTGGATTGAAATACAACACAGCAAGAACAAAATGATGCAGTTGCTGTAGCAGCTGAATGATCGGACCATAAGAAAATGTCAACGGGACCTGAACAACATCTGTTACGCTGACGTCAGAAGATCAAAATGGAGTAGGGGGTCAAACGACAAAGTCACAAAGTCAATAACGGGTATGACCACCCTGTGCGTGAATCACAGCAGTGCATCGGCGACCAAATGGGCATGGAAGGCCTGGGGAATGGCCTGCAATATCCTCCTCAAATCCTGTGCCAAGTCATGGATGTGGAAGACGACACAGACAGCGCTCCATTTCATCCCACACATGCTCTATTGGGGAGAGATCTGGAGAAATTGCAGGCCATGGCAGTAACATGACATTGTTATGGTGAAGGAAATCCATTGCGACCCTAGCCGTGTGAGGACGAGCGTTGTCCTGTTGAAATGTCAATCCCGGGCCATGACGTTGCAGGAAAGGAATGACCACAGGCCTCAGAATCTGATCTCTGTAGCCAACGCCGGTGAGATTGCCCTGAACAACCACCAAAGGGGTTCGGTGCCGTGCTGTTATCCCACCCCAAATCATCACAGAGCCCCCTCAAAACAATCCTCTCCACAATACAGTTGCGTGCATAACGTTCTCCCAAACGCCGGTAGACACATTGGCGCCCGTCACTCTGGGAAATGTTGAACCTCGATTCATCTGTAAAGACAACATTTCTCCACCATATTCGAGGTTGGCGAACATGATTTCGACACCATCTTAGACGGTTGACTCGATGACTGTGTGTCAGGATGGGACGTATGGCAGGGCGTCGTGGTCGAATCCCGTACTGACGTAAACGATTCCTGACAGTGTTGGGATGGATACGGCGCGGTCCAGGAATTGTCTGGGACGTCGTTACTGCCGTTTGGAAGCTGTGTCGGAGATGTGTAACTCGAATCCATCTGTCCTGTCTTGGCGTCGTTACTCGGGGACGTCCTGAACGTGGGTGGTCGGCAACGTCATTTGTGTTCTGATAACGCCTCACCAATGCCGATATCGTGTTACGATTGCATTGGAAATGTGTTGCCACCTGTTGTTGCCTCATTCCCGCTCGGATCATTCCAATGGTTTCATGACGCTGTGCAGCTGTCAATCTTGGCATGATTTGCTTGTGATATGCTTGTGTCTACACCTGAGAAGTTTTGAATTTTTGAATGACCACAGATCATGCTTTCCAAAGTGACAGCGAATTTTGAGTTGCACATGCTGTGTACAGCTGCACAGGATGCACGTGCAGTAACACATTGCACGTCCATAGGCCCCCATCAATGACGTCATATCGCATGGCATGTGCATGAGCGTTTGAATGTCTCCAATAATTGATGTGTTCAAACCTATATTTCATATATGGACGGTGTGCCCTTATATCTATATTTTCTCCGTGCACAGTTTCTTTATGTGGACAGTATATATTCGTATGGGGATTGTTATTAAGTAGTATAGGTAATAGGGGTTCTGGCTCACTTCAACTGGAGTCAGATATATATACCTATACTGCTACTACAGATGGAATTTTTTATGTGTAAATGTTGATGCGATTCAACGATAGTCATAAGAATCAAGTTAAATTGGCTCTAGCTCACCAATACCTTGAGTCAATCAATGATACCATTAGTACAAAAACGATGATGAGACTAAACTAAATTGTAATGAAAATATTCTCTATTATCTTTATTCATACGTATACAATCATTTTTAACGAAGTCATATTCAACATTTTCACAAAGTTCTTCGTTCATTTTACTAGGAGACCAGACTATATACTCTTCTTGGTAATTGGAAAGAAACAATTGATGACCGTATTTGGTTGGTTTGATATCACTGATATAATATATACCTTGTGGTAATTCTCTTCATTTGATAATTTTGTCCCTGAGCATAAATTCCATTATTATATATTCATGTAAGCATTTTTCTAAATGTTGGTTTTGGCACGGAATAATTGTCTCCCTGTTCGATGAACTTTTTTTCCTCGTCTTCGCTCCTAATTCCACTGGTCTTTGATCGAATCTCAGGCTTCATTGTGTTGTATTTGGTGAGCTCTGACAACACTAAACTAGCTCCTCTTCGGATATCTTACAATCAGCCATTGCTGTTGAAATGTGATCCTCAATGCTGTTCAACTTTGCTTCAGCGAGTATCTGAATATTATCGTGTTTTAATGCTTTCTTTTGCAACTTACAAGAAATGAATTTTATCGCTATTCCTGCCAGTCCTGAGACTCGGCAGCTATTTGCATGCCAAGTACGATAGGCGCAGCAATTATAGTTGATAATAAACCGACATCGGCTACACCGAGTCCCATGCTAGCCGTTACAAGTGCAGTGTCAACTCCGTCGAGAGCATTCACGGCTCTGCGATACTTTTTATACAATCCAAGTCTAAACTCCCTCTCCTTCTCTATTCGATGTTTTATGTTGCTTATTTGATTGTAATCGAAATTCATCAACTTAATCGAGCGCTGGATATAAATCCATATTATTATTATAGTTTATAATAGTCTTTAATTGGTCTTGCTTAAATGTTTTGAGAGTATACATCAACTTTATCAAATGTATATTATACGGCATGAATATCTTAGTAAGAGAAATGCTGTCACTTTTAATAATTTGGACCCCCTCAAGTAATGCAACGGGTGATGCTCCAATATGAATAATACTACAACGTTGACGTTGGTGTTTCTTTAGCCATTTAATCGAATGACCTGATAATATTTCGAAGGCATCTTCCTTCAGTGTAGAAAGATTAGGTATTGCACTCAAGTTCTGTTTAATATCATTGAATTCAGTATCCAAATTTAAACTAACATTTTTTGATGCGGGACGACTATATAACATATGACCTGGGTTTTCTGGTAGGGGAGAGACTAACACACTTTTTCGTTTTGACGGGATATAAGCCCCGAGTACGACCCCACTATTTATTATTTTACTTAAATTATATGCCTTACCCGTCATCACATATGGTGGGGTAATGACGGTATTCAGTATCCACTCGATGTTTCCTTCGACCATAGTCCATTTATTATCATTGTTGCGAGTAAGATTATACGAAGTGTTTTTTTAAGGAGCCTACTTAAATTGCTTAAATCTCCTAGATTACTTGTGAATGCAACTTCTTTCCACTTGTATACATTATCTTGTAAGTGTAAAGCATATAACTTACCATCGGTGCCCGGTTAACCGAATCCTTCTTGTCTCCGGGATCGGAAAGTGCGATTGTATTACATTGTCTGAGCGTTCCAGGGCCTGATGAATCAACCATTATTTATAATATGAAGTGTTACACTCAAGTATCCTATATGTACAGGTTGATATTTTACATCTAATACAGAAATTTTGAGGTCAAATAATACCATGCTTTATTTTTTTATATTGTAATGATGAGAAAGATTCTGTTCTACCACTATTGTATTTTTCATCTTTGACTGGAACAGCTCTGAGTTGAGTTGAAGGACTTTCTAGTTGAATATTATCCGTCCTGCTTATTTGATCAAGATGGATGCACAACTCTTTATTGGGAACTAAATCG